ATTTATGCACAATTGGATCATATGCGCTTAGCCTTTGGTTGTTCCAATGAACTTGCCCTATATTTGGGTTTTTCCAAGTAGTCGACAATGTTTATAATTAGTATCTTTGTCTAGAATTAAGCAATAAAAAAATATAGGCATGTATGCGGTGAAATTATGATCTTAATAATTGTAGCTATTTTTTAGTTTCTTGCGTTGAATCAATGAGAGAATTTTTTATGGGAATAGAAAACTCTTTGTTAAAATCCAATGAACATAGGCGCCAAAATAATTTTGAGGTTGGCCACTTGTAGTTAAATGTAGTGACTTTACAAGACACTTCTCTTTCTTCTTTGTGCACTAGTGTAGGCTCCTGCAAAGAGGAAGGACTAACAAATGTTGTGTCGGTCCGATCAAGGTTATTTTTGGGTAATCTCAAAGTCAATTGCATCCTAGTTATGTCGTTTGAAGCATGCATGAGCTTTTCTTGATCCCTTGAATTTTTTTTTTAGGTCAATCAAACCATTTTGAGCTCATTTGGATTTTGGGTCAATCAAATTGTGCTGAATTAGACCTTTGTTAGTTCTTTTTAAGGCATCTCCATGTCAAATTTGTGCTTGATCACATAAGGTTTTTATAATTCCAACAATTCTAAATCAAATGAAAAAGGATGTGCCTAATGAATGAGGTCCATATCAATTTGGGAAGGGTTGATGTAATATAGCCTTAACTTGCAAACATGTGACCTTGAAGTTGCAATATAGAGAACATAGCTATTTTTCTAGAGCTATCTGCTTGTTGTAATCCTAAACCTCGCATCCTAATATGCTTATTTGAGATGAGCTTTGGTTATATGGCTTGATGCGCTTCAAAACACGCTCAATGCTTGATTTTGAATTTGCTTTCATCCTTGTAGTAATAAGGTTGTGGCTTGGCTCAAACTGGACCAAACTAAGAATTAAACTAAGAATTGAATTGAATAGATAACTGAAAATTAAACTGAACCGAACTGAGAATTGAACTGAATACTGATCTGAACTAAGCTGAGAATTAAAATAATAATTGAACTAAGTGCTAATGGAAGAGGTCTAACACAGGGAGGTGTGGGAAATGGTGATCATCAGGGTTGATAAAAGAAGGATGAGGGTGGCCTCATGAAAGTGGTAAAAGCTGATGAGAACCTTGTTAGGGATGGACTCAATGGGGGTCTAGAGTGGAGGGAGCTTATTGGGCGATTTTTCAAGTAATATTGTGGAGGCGGATTGAGTTAAAGATGAGGGTACCACCAGAGTATGAGTGGAGCTAAGGAGGGGAGGAGAAGACGGGCTCTAGCATAAACACTGAGGATGATATGCAAGTAATGATTGTATAGTAACATGGAATGACTATGAGCAAAAGAAAGCGAGAGAGAATGTGTGGAGTCGGTGGAGGGTAGTATTTTTCTTGCTTCTTATTGTTACCTATTTGGGTGGAAATAGGTAGAGTGGAAGCATCCAGCTGATGGATCTGATACTATGTGTATGTTGGGTAGTTCTGCCATATGCATTGAGGATAGTAGTTTACTTATAAGAAGGATCAAAATAATATCTATTTCTGACCTCAAGAGCAGGAATTAACAACAAAATACAAGTTATGTTATACTATATATAAGGAGATTAATTGTAAAGAGAGCTTTTTGTACGCTTCATTCCTTTTTTCTTTAGTTTTAAATTTTTTCTTAAATTACTCTATAAGTAAGGCTGTATACCAACATGATGAATATGCTTATTAGCTTTCAGCATTTTTTCTTAGCCAAATATTTCTAGGAGATAGACCATAAGATGTGGAAAAAGATTAACATAAACCTAGCATAGGTTGAATAGGGGGTGATCAAGTGTTGGTTAAGGACCATCTTGAAACATATATTAAGCTCATAGTATATTAAAAAAATCATTTAATGTTGAATTAGCCTTGATTAAGAATTTAATAAGATCCAAGATGAGTTGATTAAATTCATCAAGCATCCTAGTATAAAAAAATATTAAAAAAATCAAAGGGTTTAGTTAGATTAATTCCTTTTTGATATGCTTGCGTGGACTTTCTGGACTCTAAAAGAATAGACACTTACATTCTTTAATTATTTGAAGTCATGTCCTTCAAATCCATGATGCAGAGAAGATTTAAAGGTATGACACTTGGCCTGTGTTAAGAAGGTAACCAATTAACCTATAATATACCGCTTTCTTCTAAAAAACAAACACTTGTTGAAGTGTTCATGGTTTGAAACTAAATCCAATGTATGTTTAATATGTACTGGCACCTCCCATTTAAACCCATGACAAGCATTTGGTTTTTATGTTCTTTTGTCATTTTTAGTAGCATTAATAAGGGTACACATTTTAGATATCTCAGGTCTATTGTCCAGAGTGATTGTGAAATAGATGTGGATATTATTAGTAGAATTCAAGTCGGATGGTTGAAGTCGAGAAATGCATTGGGGTTGTGTGATAGAAAAGTTCAAACTTAAGGGAAGATTCCATCAGATGGTGTTGAGAGTTGAGACTTGTAGTGCTTTATGGCACAGAATGTTGTCCATTAAAAGAGAAGCATGTGATTGAGTTAAGTGTTGCAGAGGTGAGGATGCTTAGGTGGATGTGTGACTTTACTCTTAGAGATAAAATGTGAAACGAGCATATGCGTGAAAAGGTTGGAGTAGCTGTAATGACAGATAAGATTTGAGAGAGTCGTCTTAGATGGATTGGTCATATGAAACGTCGGCCTTTTGTTGACTCGGTTTGGAGAGTTGATGTATTAGATTTTGCCTATGTTAAGAGAGATATAGGTAGACCTAAAAAGACTTGGTTAGAAAATATTAGAAATGACTTTTTTTATTAGATTTAAATGGATAAAACAAATTTCATGTTGCCGACCCCATGTAGTGGGATAAAGGCTTGATGTTTGTTGTTGTTGTTGTTGTTGTCATTTTTAGTACCAAATGGCTTTTTGGTTTTAGTAGCTACTGTTTCTTATTAATTTTTAACCTATAGTTGAGAAAGGAGACAAATTTTACATGAGCATTAAAATGTTCAGCCTATGCTATTGACATTATCTTTATTTGCCTTAAATCTTAATGCAACACAAGAAAAAAAAAGTTGTGTGTATAAATTTTTTAGCATTTCATTTAATTAGGATTTTTAACGAAGTAATAGGTTTTATTATTCTTTTGGATGATATTTGTTTTGAAATTTTATTTATTATGAATTTGGATATGATTATTTGAATTCATGTTATTTTGAGCTTATCTTGTAAATTTCATTTCTGTAAATATGGTCTATGGCTTGCACTTGATCAACTTTTAAAATTTTAATCATCTTATTATCTTCTTTCTTCTTTTCCTCTCTCCACATGATTTCTCTCTACCCACTACTCTCATCTACATCAAATAGTATTTGAGACAAATGCTCCTCATTCTTTAGTCCTTCCATATGCTTTTGCCTCGTGCCCACATCGTTGTTGTTCTCAAGCAGTATGTCTGTCCATGCACTGATCACTACCTCCACGACCCCTCTCGCAATCATCTTCCTTCACACTTGCTTTTGTTTTTTTCGTTCCCAAATCTTGAAATACACTCTGTTGTTATGCCCTAGTTGTAATTTAATCCATGTGTTCATTTTCAATATCAACACTTTCGTCATGACTTTTCACTAGTCATGATTGCATCAATCATATTATTGTTGTTTAATTTGTGTTATTCACTGTAATTTCCTTAACATCGATGCTAGCTACATGTTCAATTTGTTGCTTCACCATTTCATTCGTTTTGTTCAATTTCTTTCACTTAATTGCAACCTCCACATGCCACTTGCATCCTCTTTTCTTTTGTGATTCTCCATTTCATAGATAAGGGCATCAACGTGTTTTGTCTCTTAGTCAACTTTAGTATGTATTGGTCGATCCCAATATGTTGAACCTTCAATGGCTATATCCTTGAATTTTTAAAGCATGATCAGCCATATTGATCCCCATAATTTCTTGTCCAAAACGACTTTAAGCTTCATTTTGAATGTATACAAATTCCAATATATTGCCTCATTGGTTTACTCAAGATATCAGATAAGAGACAACACATGGCTGTTAATCAAACTATCTGGATGGCACGGTCTTTTGATCTTTTGTTTTTGGTAGACTAGGTCCACCAATTTGACTCAATATGATGGAATTATGAGATCTTGCCCCCATCTATTTTCCTATTATGACTCTCACTTCAAACCCACTAATTCAAATTGTTGTGATGTCCTAAATGAGGGTGTTCTTAGGCACAAGGTCTGGGATTTAATTAATCATAGAAATTTTCACCAAGGAGACGATTTAAGGTAAACCTTGATCAATCTTTCAATCTCTAGGACCTTATTTTTATCTGCCTTTG